TAGCATTTGCCAAGTATTAATACACTAACTGCAACAAAAGTTCCTCATTCAATGCTTTAACTTATGTTGATGTCACCTTTAACAATGGACAGCCTTGAGGACTTGGTACCCTGAGAAATCCCTTTCACTCCCTAATTTGACATTGTAGGAACTATTTATCACCCAGAAGGACTCTAAGACTCAAAAGCCCTTTGTATCTTTATAAACCAAAAAACAGATCCCCTAATCTGTACCAAATCTTCAGTTTACTTCATAAATCAAAGTCCAAGTCACTCTGCTGATTTTATTTTTATATCGAACTCTCCCTCCCAAACCTGACCCCCCAAATAAAATCATGTACAAAGAGAGGGCACAAAAAATTATTCTAAAATTGTAATAATCTCTTTCCAAAAAGATCTTGTATTTATTTCTTAATTTTCAAATTAACTTAAACCTTTTAATGCTGAAGCTATGACAAGGTCTACAAGATAGAAATGGCAACAAAAATAAGACTTTTTGTTGCGTACATCATTCAGGGATCTTTCTCAATGGGTAAACATGAAGGAAATATGAGTAAAACAGAAGCTCAACCTAGCTAGCTTCTGTCAACAGAAACAATTAACATAAACAATGGAAATAGGCATATGGCCTTTTTTTTTCTTATACCACTAAATTCTGCAAAATCTCTCAGTTTCACAAAACTAATAAACATAAACAAGGGAAATGGTTATTTTTTTTTCTTGCACCATTGGTCAGAATTCTGCTAAATCTTTCTTTCACAAAACTACTGTAACAAATGACCTGTTACATTTAATCATTTTTTTTTTTTATCTTCCTAATAATCCAAGAAAGAATTTAGTTTCAATTTCAAAATTTTGTTCCCTTTCAAAGATATCGACCATGTTTACATAATACGGCATTCTGGTATCCAGCTACCGTCATATGGATCACCATACAGATCGCGGATCTCTTTCCAGATCGATTCCAAAGAATAACGGAGCTCTTATCTCTTTTAAGTCCCTACCTAAACAACCTTCTCACATCCCATACCAGAGAATATACCCTCAGCTTACGGCAGATAACAAACTTCTATAATTGATATTAAGTGACCCTACAAATACTTAATCCCATTTTTATTGGTTAAGGGGACTTTAATGCCCTGTCTAATCAAGCCATGTGAAATTTTATTCAATTTTTTTTCTGTGTATTGCAGGACTTTATGGGGGAAAAATCTACTGACCCCTGCTGAGAATGCAGAGTTCATTAATTCTATAGGGGTAGAATTCCTAAAATAGCACTTTGATGCAGGGAAAATTTACAAAACAAATCAATGTAGTTTTTATTATGACTTGGAATTCCAATGAAAAAATTGAAAGACGTAATTTTTAAATCCTTCGATAAAATTATATACTTAATTGAAAAGAAACAGGGCAGAAAATTGGAGCTTTTGTCCCATTAACTTACACTTACTAAAGTGGTATCACTTAAAATATCTTCTTTTATAAAAGAGCTAGTCAGAGCATTGCACTAAATCAGTAATCATTTTCAAATTGATTTCGCACATTAATACTAATTAAAATAACACCTATAATGATGATATAATCGTTTTTCTGGTTTTGTCCAACATTCTACTTTCATAACATCAATCAAATTACATGTACTTTGTCGTTTTTAAAAATAATCATTTTCCTTTTTTAAATATATTGATCAGTCTATAATCTTAACAATACCTGCCCTAGCTGCCATAAAAAAAGAATTTTTATTATAATTATCCTATTTAATGTCTATTGGAAACCTGTTTTTCAGAAATATCGTATTACAGCAATTTTGAACTACAGATAGTTGTCTTTCAATTTTTGAGATCATGTAAACTTTGGTCAGCTTATTTCATTTTTCGTAAAAATTCCGATCACCAAAGTTTGTAATCTTATTATCAACGAAATCACGTCTCTTAAAAAGAGTTCTGTTCGGAAAGTTCCAACAATGACAATGTTGTCATTTTAGTTTAAGTACTTTTTAAATTTCGAAACTGGAGATTTCCATGTTTACATAACTTCAAGAGAAAATCCACTCTTGATTTAGTTCTTTACACAAACATTCTACTTAAAATACATACAGACATGGAAACATTTATTACTGAAAGGGTAGGGGGTGGTATACCGTCAATTTTACGTCTTTTATTCAAACATTCTGTAAACTGTAAGAATACCCATATAAAATTACTCAAATTACCTAAATTTTCTTTGTGTTTGTTAATAATAACCATGGTTCTAGCTGTTTATTAAAAATAAACGTACTTCAAAGTTTAAACTGCTATGGCAACAAAACTCATCAATACATTGAACTTCTAAAAGCTTTCAATATTTATATCCGTTGACTTTTTTTTCTTTAAAAATAACAGATGAAAAATTATTTTAAAATCAATTTTATGTACAGTTAAATGCAGCTATAGTCATGAGATCACCCACGTGAGTCTTCGTTTTAGCATACCGCCATTCCTCACGCAGCATGGAGACAAGAAATCTTTGTTCCTTCATAAATCATATAAAGTACAGAGTTGATAAAATACACCTAGAGATCGTCATGTCATAAAGAGCTCAAAATCATGCCATTGTGAAGTTTAAAAGTGCAAAATCACTTCACTCCCTGAAATTCATTATATGGCATACCCTATAAGAGACCATCATTTTTCGCTGGGGGCATTCAGTATGATTTTTTTTTTGTTGGAAATCTCGGATTGGAATTATTGTCATAATAGTTTATACATGTAAATAACGGGCATTTTTTCTCAACTCTGGAGCAAGTGAATCAAAATCATAACAGAATATATTTCTCATAAACAGCAATTTTTGTTTTCATTCAGATTTGACCAAAAGTCAACAAGCAATATTTCATTCGAAGGAGCAATCATCCATGATTAAAGTGTTTAAATGATCAACAATGCATATGATTTACGATAAAATTAAAATCCATTCCATTATCTGATAGGCAAATTATATCATAAAATTCTGAAAGTTAACTTAATGCCCCAATCGCATATACCCGTTTCAACAAGACCCTAAAAAGTTAAGCAAAGATGTGTATAGATTTCATACACTTCTGGTAATGACAAATGTCTTGACTTGAACTTTGACCTCAAATCCTGATTCATCCTTGACTTTGCACCCTTTACTAATCCAATACTTGTATGTATACTGTACATTGTCTTCAGAGCTAATGTTCTTTGTTTATGTACCCGACTTTAAATAAATATTATCTTATCTTATCTTTACATCTTAGGTCATATATAAGTTTTTTTTAATTCTTTGACAATCTTTCTTAATAAAACCCTGCTCAAGTATAAAAATTCAGTTTTTTAGCCTTGATCATTTTCTTTAATACACATAGAACAGACCAGGTGATTCTAATAAGGTAGGGTTTAAAAAAATCTTTTGAAGAATAATGTATGTTAATGGGATAGATTTATACAGTGGACCTTCAGATATTCGGACGCCAGATATCCGGATGCTTCAGTATCCGGACGATTTTTCATTGGAACAAAATTTTAAAATGTTATTCTGTCTTGTTTAACTGGTGATTCAGATATCCGGATGCTTCACATATCCGGACAAATTGACTGGGAACCAAAGCGTCCGGATAAATGAGGGTTCACTGTAATTAAAATTTGTCAAGTTCCAAACAGAACAGGACACAGGGGGTGGGATATCTTAAAAGTAACATATTTTTTGGACGATTATATTCGTATTTAAAGACCTATATGCACTTATATACTTTTAACGTATTAGCATTGAATCAAATTCCCTACTCATCTGTGAATTAAGCCGCCACAATTCACACTGATCGAGCAAAAATTCAGTTTTCAATAGTCGACTGCACCAAATGTTATCATTTAATTAAATTATATTCATACTCCAATGCAAATACAACCTGGAACTTAAGGCCGTATGCTTCAAAAGGGGAGATAATTCCCAATCTGTATAATGGACACGAAATGGACATTCTTATCGAGATTTACACAAGCTCTCTTCAGGTCGTGTTTACCTATATGTGCGATAAAGACGAAACTTGGTGATAAAAGTACTTGACGAATAACTGTCATTTTACTTAACCACAGGACAAATAGCCGGGGTTCCCAGAGGACATTTAAATACACCCCAGTGTCCTGATAGAGATAGGAATATGGTTATCTGCAGTCCTGTATATTAATGTTTCGAGTCAATATTGTCCCTTTTTTCCGACATCAAAGACAAAAAAAAATTTTGAGTAAAAACAAAAAACTTCAATGTTGATACATTTAAGGTAAAAAAAATGAAAGGTATTTCTCAAATGAAAAATGATACATTTGAGGTAAAAAATCAACAATGTGGTAGATAAAAGAATTTTTTCAAATGAAAGACCTTCCACTAAAGTGAACCATGATATTCCGTTATTTCAATGCAGACAATTTGAGAAGAAGGTGGTCTTAGATTTGACATAATGGTCTAAGTTACAAACAATCTGATATCAATATATTCACAGTCCATTAAAATCTAATGTTGGAAACTTTAACCTTCAAACTCTGTGGCATTATTAGGGTTGTTCTGAAATTAATGCCCTGTTCACACAGAGAGTTTAATTCAGTACTGCTCTCAGCCAATGAAGTTTCAAGACTTATATCAGAGGCATTATAATATACCATATAACTGGTTATTTTGGTGACAGGAACATTTCCGTCATTTTTGCGATAATTTATTTTCTTGAAAATTTTTGTTACATGTTTACCATGATCATCAGCAAAGTGTTTTTTTTTAACATTGCCAAGATCATCATTTATATTGCCATGTTTAAAAAGTCACTAAAATTTTTCATTTATTTAGTCGCTGCTTATAAAGTCATCTCTGACCACATTGTGGTGCATGCTGTTTTCTAGGAATGATTTTTGAAACACATAGGGAATGATCCCTGATTGAATACGTAGGGATTCAAAGAAACACAACTAGGAATATGTATCGATTCAGAAAAAAACACAACTTGGTACTTACTCATCAGACTTGGACGAATGTATGGAGGACCGTGTGGGAGAGCCGACCTTGTAGTCGTGCGGCAGCGTCGCTCGTTTCTGATTACTGACGCTCTCATAGCGGTTAAAGGAGTGATTGACGCAGTTACTGCTCTTTGGTCTACTAGTCGAAGGGGTTCCCCCAAACGTGTGAGACTTGGGAAGGTTGCGATGACCGTCGATGAAGTTGCGTTCTTGGATAATCTGGTCCCGTGTGTGGCCGCTGACCGTCCGCCGGGCAAATTTTTTACTAGGTGACCTAAAAAAAGAAATTAAATGGACTTTCCATACTGCATATCAGTATTTTTCAGTTAAAAAAAAATTATCATTTTGAAGAGTTTCATGTTTAAAAGCCCTAAAGGGCCAAACATGGTCAAAAAGTTCATTGGTTGTCATTTTCAGAGGACTTTTGTTTTTTCTAATGACAATATTTGATCCTCAAACATTCTGTCAAATGTGTGTATGATTGAATTAATTGTTTCAAATGCTGTGAAAAACTAGCAATTTAACTATAGACAAACATCCACTTAATGCCATACGGCATTTTCAGAGAGCCTGAAAAATGTATACCAAATCTGATAACAAGAGGCCCATGGGCCACATCGCTCACCTGAGAAGCTTTGACCATTACGTTCTTTACCAGATTTCCCCCTTGTAATACATTACCTAACTGATCATAATTTAGACAATTTGAAATCTACGCTACCATAGGATGCTTTGAATGTGTGTGGCCCCGCCCATGATTGAAAATTTAGAATCTACACTACCCTGGGATGCTTCCAATTAAGTTTCAACTTTTCTGGCACAGTGGTTCTTGAGAAGAAGATTTTCAAAGATTTTTCCTATATATTTCTATGTAAAACTTTGATTCCCCATTGTGGCCCCATCCTACCCCCGGAGGTCATGAATTGAATAATTTAGAATTGACACTACCCAAGGATGCTTCCACATAAGTTTCAGTTTTTCTGGCCAGGTGGTTCTTGAGTAAAAGATTTTCAAAGATTTTTCCTATATATTGCTGTGTAAACTTTGATTACCCATTGTGGCCCCGCCCAATATGATTTTAACAATTTAAATGCTTCCACCATTTTCTGTCTCAGTGGTTCTTGAGTAGAAGATTTTCAAAGATTTTTCCTATATATTTCTATGTAAAACTTTGATTCCCCATTGTGGCCCCATCCTACCCCCGGAGGTCATGATTTTAACAATTTAGAATTTGCACTACCCCAGGATGCTTCCATGTAAGTTTCAGTTTTTCTGGCCGAGTGGTTCTTGAGTAGAAGATTTTCAAAGATTTTTCCCATATAATTCTATGTAAAACTTTGATTCCCCATTGTGGCCCCGCCCTATCCCTGGGGGTCATGATTTGAACAATTTAGAATCTACACTACTCCAAGATGCTTCCACATAAATTTCAGCTTTTCTGGCCCAGTGGTTCTTAAGATTTTTTAATGACCCCACCCTATTTTTGCTTTTTATGTGAGGGGACTTGGCCCTTCATTTTTACAATTTAAATTCCCATTTACCCACTGTAAAGTTTGTGTATTGGCTGGTTCTATCGAAAATGTGAAAAGTTTACAGACGAACTGTGATAGAAAAGCTAGTGGTTAATATAAAACCATGAGTTTGGAATAATAATTAAAACTCTCTTTTTATGTAAGATGCATATATTTCATGATGTATACAGTCCAATGGAATAGTAACTCTCCATATATTTTGATAAAGTCCCATCATTTTACACATGCCACAACTACTAAGTTAACATAAATAAATAAAGCTTTTCACTTAGAGCTGCTAGCTGAATGAAGTAACAATTTAGTCACTGGTCATAAAGTGTTTGTTAGTGTAGAGTTGTAAAAAAGCAGTGAAGTTTAAAATGGAGAAAAGAAAAGGTTTAGCCCAGGCATCCATAAAGTAGTGGGAAAAATACTAGTAAAACAATTAAGGGGGAGTGTGGGAGGGGAGGTAAGCATGCAATAACCTTGTTAAGGAAAAAAACTAATAAATAAAATGGCTTTCTATGGGTTAGTGCAACAAAAAAAAAATTTCAAAGATACATGTTTTTAAGGCAGATTCAGGAATGCTAGTCAATTATTTGTCTAAATAGTTATGAACACAGAAATGTCTGTATTTCTCTTTATTAAAAAAAAAGGCAATATCCCTAAGCATTTAAGAATCTGCATGGGAAATGAGAGCTTCTAATGGCTTACATGTAAGATCTAGTTTTTAGAGAAAAAATAAAATGCTGCAGAACTGTCACAAATAGGACATTCCTCGAAGACAAAGGAATAGCTCACCTGGAAAAAGTCCGTTCAATTTTAGCCCGCCTCTTGTTCTCTTCCAAAGTTTGGAATTCAGTTCTACCACTGTAATTACAATAGCAGGTACTGTAATCACAATATGTGGTGTACGCGATGTGTAATGTAATGTAACCACTGTAATTACAATAGGAAGTACTGTAATCACAAGCCGTGGTGTATGCTAGGTGAAACTGAAGTAATTAATCCTTAATGTAATGTTAAGGTTCATTTATACTCTGATAAGAGAGATAACTCATAATGACATAAATTTCTATTATTCTTTTATAGATTTGCCAAGTCCAAGAGTCTTTTTTGTCTAATTTTGCCCTGCAAGCTATGCTATAATTGTTTGTATTTTGCTGATAAAGTACATTTCTTTTTGGAAAATCATTTAGATTCAAGGAACATTTTATATGAGTGAGCAGAGGGTTTATGAACCTTAATGTTAAAGTGTTTCTAGTTTTACAATATGGTATGTGTATTCAATGTACAAGTGTGACTAGTTTTACAATATATTTTACAAATTCTTATCATTGTATGATGGAATTATCCTTGAGTGGCTAATGTATGCAAAATAATGAAATGCTTTAAAACTGGTATGTAATTGCATTTTGCTTAATGTACACGTACAATTTTGTGTCGAGTTTTCTTTCCAAAAATCCAGGAAAGTAAAGTAATCTGTTTCAAACTAGGCCAAATGGTGACTTTCTGTCAACTTTAATTTGCCATTTTACGTTTCTACTGGTTCCAAAGGGAAAAGATTCCACAACTCAGAGGGACGGACATTTTTAGTGATCAGAAACCCTGACTATAGATGCCTGGAGGTTTTCTAAGCGTCTATTTTACAGAGAAAAAGATGGAAATCCAAGGAGAAAAATCACTCTTCTAGCTCTACGAACTTTGACTGATTAGAAATTAAATAAGTTCATTTTTACTTTCTGTTGTTTCAATGTGTGCTTTTTTTCACTCTATGTCTATTACTGTGTAGTTATGTGTGATATTAATTTAGAGATAAAAAAAAATTTCAAACGATTCAGGTGTAACAACCATGATTATAAGGAAAAACAAAACTCCAGGAAACATTTAAAACAAGTGGAAGTAAGTCATGCATATGTTCAACACTACAAATCAAACCAGTCTGGTGAAAGATTTTTTTTTTTCAGGAATATTAATTAAAAAAAAATATTATTATAATAATAATAAATTCACAAGGAAACTGAAAATATTTTGAAGTATATGAGGTATAATGTGGAAATATGAAGTAAATTCAGTGATATATTTGTAAATACATTTTTATATATTCATATTTTATGCCAGGTAATCCTCTCCATAAGGAGAAGGGACATAACTCCAAAATAAGGTTGAATATGATTGAAGCCCGACTAATTTGACCACAGAATGAACAGAACTAGTATCCCCTCCAATGGCAATGTAACCCAGTGTCTAGTTCATCTCTTATTTTACACTCACCACCAGTGATATTAGTGGAAAAATCATACCATAGATACATTAATATTACAACCTTTATCCATTAACTATGATGTTACTAGCATTAATTATGTTAACTGTGAAGAAACAACCATATTCCCATAACCAGTAAGAAATAAAGAACATCCCATTTCTGTTTCAATTCTTTTTAAAAAATTATCAGTACTGTTGTTATGTTCATATCTAATATTAATTGTCTAAATATCAATGAAATGACTACTCTTTCTGTAAAATATGACATTTGACATTAACAATAAGTTGCTTCATTGATACATAGACAATTGAAAATTTGAATAAGAGCTTGAGATAGATCAGGCAGAGGTTTGTTTTTTCCTACTCTAAATATTGTTTTTCACAGTAAAGTTTCCATTTTTTATAAAAACAAGAACATGGAAATGAATATTTCTGAGACTTATTCAAAATCTACAAACGCACACAACACCACACCTTACTTAAACACCTGTCCACCTGTGTACGACTAAAAAATTACCTGTAACGGAACTTGGAGCCCATCGAGAAGATTTTCTTGGAGGGCGGGTTGGGAACGTACAGACGGAAAAAGGTGTGATGTTCCACGCAGGATTTCCAGAGATTCTTACAGGATCGGTAGCTGATCATGTTAAACCCAATCAGATTCTCCACCGAGTCATTCTGAAACAAGGAAAAAATTACACTGAATAAAGAGTACAAATGATCCAATCAGATTCTCCACGAGTCATTCTGAAACAAGGGGAAAAAAAATTACATTGAGTTAAGAGTAAAAATGACCCAATCAGATTCTCCACTGAGTCACTCTGAAACAAGGAAAACATTACATTGAGTAAAGAGTACAAATGACCCAATCAGATTCTCCACTGAGTCTTTCTGAAATAAGGAAAAAATTCTATTGAGGAAAGAGTAGAAATGACCAAATCAGATTCTCCACCGAGTCATTCTATAACAAGGGAAAAATTACTTGAAGTTGAGTAAAGAATAAACATGACCAAGAATGCATTTTCTGTATGTCGTTTTTTTAATAACGAAAATTTATTTTATGGAATAGGGAGATAAAAAAGGGAGTTTAAAATATATAACACAGTCAAGTCCCATTACCTCAAACATGACTGGATCAGGAATACAATTTTAAGATATCATAGGTTTGAGATACTGAGAGTAATTGAGATATCAGTTTTCAAGATACAACTGTACATATTAAATAAAACACTATACTCACCACTTCTCTTCGAAGTTGAATGAAAAACTGCTTCCTTTTAAATGATATTTTTACAATCTTTGCCCTGAAAAAATAAATAAACATTTGTCAAATAATTTGATAGGTACTGTACAGTATATAAACTGGTCGTATTTAAATTAAATAAATTCTAAAGATAGAACTGACACAAGACAAGGTGCCCTCTGAAAACAATCAGGGGATCAGGCACACATTGGAAAAAAAAGGAGTGACCTTTTCCTGAATTCTCTTTTTTACTGTAAAATGACAAATTTTTGTGGGGGCAAAATTTCATGGTTTGAGAAAAAAAGGTTGAATTGTTGGGATTCTATTTCAAGGATGAAAAACTGAGAGTGTACTTGTGTACAAGCCCACCATTTCGTGGTGGGCATGAATTCATGTGTCTCTTCAAACCTCAAAAAACAAAGAAAATTAAACCCCACAGAAATATGTGACATCACAGTAAATTTTATTACGACTCTGTTTCTACTTACCATGGGAATGTATTAATTTTGACATTGTTTTGAAAGACTACAAGCCCCACAGACGTGACGCCTAGCTGTATATCTATATTATTCTGGTCCTACAAAAAACAAAAATAATCATGTTAACTTCGAACTTATAACTCTCAGTATAGCTTTCAAACTTTCTCTGCTACTTTCACAAAACGAATATAATTTATTAAAAACAAATCAACGCTTTTGTTCATGTAGGTATTAGGCATATCAAATTTCATTACAATGTCTTCTTTTTAATTAAGTTAGAATTTAATTTTTATTTCAATGAGTAAATCAAAAAGTGTTAAAAATTAAATTAAAAAAGATCAGATTTGTTAGTAGAGGGTAAAAAAAATGATTACATAGTCAAAGGGAGATAACTACTACAAAACAAAACCTCTAATACCTGTATGCAGTTTATATATTATTTAACTTGTTTGATAAGACACATGTAGCAGTCTCGCCTAAGACTCTTTTTTAAAACTATTTTTGTATTACTCAAAATGCAATTTCATAAATCTATATTACATGCACCATTCCTAAAAACTTTGTGCAAACTGGTGTTAAAATCTTAGTTTACGATTTAAAATGTTTTAACACAACTCCCATGTTTTGCGGAGGGATTTTATCCAGACTACAAAAACAATTTATGCCAAAGAGTACGTATTCTGCTTCCTGATAAGGATTTTTCTTTCCAATACTCTGTAAAGATAATTTGTTCTTTGTATATCTCACCATTACATGAGAAAAAATCTGAAGTTGAATTCTTACCAAAAAAAACTTATAAATTATCAAATTTTCTAATTAAATTATTTTCCGAAAATGAATATCATGAAGGCACTGACTTCAAAATTTTACTAACATTCTATGAATTCATAGGACATAAAAGACTTTCAGCTGTATCTTATAACAACAGAAACCACTGGACAATTAACATCAGAATCTGACCAATCAGATTTCCCTAAATGCCTCAACCAATCAGACCTCTCCATAGTCTGTGGTTGGCTGCTGTTTTGAGTGTATTGTGCTTTGTGATTGGTTATACATTTGTTAGGGGGTTAATAAAAAATGATCAACGGTTGATGAAGACCCCTCTACCAGTGATAACATGAGAGAAAACATACTAACTAGTATATTGCACTGTCCCTGTTCTTTTTCATCAATAAACATGCCCTACAAAAACATACGTCCTTCAGCATCAGTTATCCAACATGTATCAATGGTTTACGAAATAAAAATTGTAAATGAACTGGGTCCTTTACTCCAGAAAAGTCTAAATGTCTTCCAACCTGGGGGCCATAAAACTTAGACGAGCTCACTTTTGATCCGTCTCACGTTTCCACTATTTTAAAATTCCTTTGGAAAAAGTGAGACCAAGATCAAAAGTGAGCTCAAATAAGTTTTATGGCCCCCAGGCCTGCTCCTAAATATTTATTGGATAATAACCATCATCAAACACTTTGCAATATTTATTTAAAAGGGGTGAACAAGCATGGGAAAGCTCTTACGCATTGAGTAACATGAGTATATGATTTCGTTTTACAGACTGCAAAGGCTTTCAGAAACTAAACTAAGCTTAAAGGCAAGCATATTGTTAAGCTTGGTATAGGGGAGGGGGGAAATTCTCCCAGAAAATTAACTTTTACAAAATCTCCAATAGAAGAAAACCTCTATTCCTTGTGAAAAATTTAACATATCAACTTCCAAATGCATTCCTCTCACACAAATATCAGTGATCAAGTCATCATTCAGTGTTAATTGACAAATTCCAATAAAGTTAATATGTTCACAGGATTTGAAAAGTGAACTTTGAATTATTGACAACAGAAAAATAGAAATCACAGCATTCCAAAGCTATAAAACTTTAAAGTATATTTTTCAAATTTAAAATAAATTTAAACCATAAAAGATGAGAAACTGTCATTTAAAATCTAACAAATACATATACGGTACACTTTATTATTTACTTTGAAAAAAAAAAAAGAGAAATGAAAATGGGAAAAAAGTAAAGAACGTTGTTCAAATTCATTCAGTTAATTAAAAAAAATTCATCAAATCAAGACAAAATCAATGCAATGAAAGCCGAGTACAGGGCGAACCTGGTCATTAGCAGCACCCTAGTCAAGTGTTGATAACTTACATAGAAGGGGGAGCTAACAGGGATCTCGTGATCAAAGGACACCTAGAAAGATATCACGCCGACTCAAACAATCGTGCAATGGCCTCCACCGATAAATCCATTAAAGAAACACATTGTACAAAATAATCATGAAACCTGTCCCCCTATAAAATATTGCTTCTTTATAAAATACAATGAATTTTAAAGTATATCTTTTCAGAAATGAAAACGTTTAGATTAATATTTTTCAGAGATATAAATATAAATAGTTTTCAAGCCTGTAGAGAAAAAAATTTGTAATTTAATTCAAATAAGCTTGGTGACAAAAAAAGAAAAGTTTAGTGAAACAAAGTCAATTAAGAAATTGGAAAGGGGGACATGGAAATTAAAATGTGCCCAAATACAAAAACAATTTCACAGAAAAAAAATTCCACAGAAATAATTTTGGCTAAGACCACCCGTAGCTTTCTAGAGTAAACATATATTGAAGTTCTGGTCAGTGAGAGGCTGGAGTTAGTTCCCTTACCCTAGCATTATGGAGGTCCACCCCGTACATTTCTAACCGCTTGGCCTTGTCCAGGTAGTGGTATTCAGCATCAGCAGGAGTCTGCCCCCTGAAAATACATCACAACATTAAAACAAACTTCCAATAACATTCTGACATTTCTGGCCATCTTTTAAAAAATACTGTGAAATCACTTAATTTCATGGGTTAATATTATCATATATTGTTTTCAAGGTATCGAGAGACCAACGAATTCATAACCACCAAAAAATGTGAAATTTAATATGCATTACTACTCAACACTTCTCCAACCATGAAATCAAATCCCACACATCCATTAATTTTCTCAAACCTCGAAAATTTGTCCCTACGAAAATATGTGATTATACAGTATTAAGGTTCAGTTTTTTTTTACTTTCTTTATATCACTAATACTGTAACATATTTTCATGAATTGAGGGAAAAAAAATATGAAGAATTGTTGCATAGTAATTTAAATGGAATTTTACATTTCATGGTGGAAAAAATTTTTCTGGTCTCTTCTTACCTCGAAAAACAACAAAATTTAACCCCCAATCATTTTTTATATTCTCTCTCTATCTCTCTCTCCCTCTTACAAACCTGTGCTGTTTATGAAGTTCAGAGACTTGTTTCTCGAAATCTTCAGTTTGGTGTGGTATAAATCTGTAGTCGGATATATAATTCCCCTTGTGTTCATCTGGATTATAGTCCCCAAGTTCAGCTGTCAAAATTATTCAAACGATCAATTTACATGAACAAATAGCAAGGGGCAAAAATTATGTGGTACTCATTCATAATTTTTTATCCCTTTTATTCTTACCCTATCACATTTCCAAATGACTTTGCACCTTTTTCACCAACAGAAAATGCTACATTATATTTCTTTAGATTTGAAAAGTGGAGAAACTGCTCAAAAGGGAGGACATTTGATAAATGTTCTTGGAATTTCAATGTTAACTTCTTTTTCAAAATTTCAACTGTTTTTACAAAACTGACCAAAAGGTCATAACTTTTGAAATATGTCCTTTCAGTTTTAACTTTCTTTCTCAAAATAGTATTGCAAAACCGGCAAAAAGACCATGACATTTGAAAAATGTTGTTTTAATTGAAATGTCAGCTTTGCTCAAATTATCTCCTTATGATTAATAAAACAAAATTTAAGACCAGGGGCCCGTTTTACAAAAAAACTTACGACCAAAACTGAATTTTGTGAATAACTTTCTTATTTACGTTACATTAAAAAGAAAATGATTTTAATCATTTTAAAAGGTACGGGTAAGTAGAAAGATATTTTTATGCTGGCAATTTTGAATTTGCAAAAAATTTAACAATCAGCTGAAGTTTTTGGTTTTAGGCGCAAGTTCTTTTGTAAAAGCCCTGAGTTGTCTCTCTTACATTGTATGGCAAAACTGGCCAGTAGGGCAGAAGTACTGGGCGGCGTGACTAGTCTACCTTCTAAGATGTCTCTCTTCACTTGTAGGAAGAAGTGATACCTGAAAAATGGGCCACAAAAATCAATAGTCTCGAAGTCTTTTAATCTGAAATTCCTCAGACTCTGACCTTTACTTTAATATTACGACTTGTGCAGGGGGAAGTTATAGACCTGTGAAATAAAGTTGTAAAAGGTAGGCAGAGTTTGCGACACCAGCTGGTGTCACTGAATTCCCAATTTTCAATATGGCCTCCACTCCGACTCCACTCTCATAATATGTGTGGGGGATAGAGTTAGGGAAATCTCAGATTAGTAGTCACTGAATGTCAATAAAAATTCTTACAATGAAAGATAATTTACCAAGTACATCACATGCAACTGAGAAATTTCAAAAAAAATTTAATACAGCATTCAAAATATCCATCCGATATTAATAATTTTATCATCATTAATTTTATGTTCTAGTATTTTACCTTTACCCTATTATAATCAACTATCCAGAAGAAAATAAACATTTTGTCAGCCCCTCCCATACCTTGTATATTCCTCTTCTAGTTTACTAGGATCAGAGACATAAAATTTCACTCTAAAATAAAACTCATATGGAGGACCTGCAATATATAAAGGGTAAACAACATCAAATTTACATCCAAATAAAATTCAATTTTTATAAAATGTCTCATTTTAAGGTAGTCTGGTCCTCAGGTTTATGAAATTCAGAAATACTTATAAAAGTATCTCTGAATCCACAAAGTTATGTAAATTTATCCACAGTATTTCTTTCAAGTTAAAAATTAAAGTTAATCATATTCTATAGGAAAAACTGTCAAATCTCCAATATTTTTGCAGAAAAAGCGAATTGGAATATCAGCAATGCATTTTCTAATTGCAAATTGATCATTAAATATATTTTAGGTTAAAAAACAATAGGTACCCAGGCATTCAGAGAAATTGTCAAGATTTTTATACTTATTGGGTATTTTTTGTCTTCTATTTCCGTCATGTATTCCATAATGCATAGTGTTAAAGGCTTTTGCTACCATTGCAAGACACCACAAACCATTTCTTATTTCATATCATGCTAATAAGCATTGGTAAAAAAAAAAAAATTTATTTCTCTAAAGATTAATTTCTTTCCTTTTAAATTGTGTCAAATATAGACTTCCAACAAGAGGCCCATGGGCCACATCGCTCACCTGAAAATCTTTTGTCATATTGTTCTTTACCAGATGTCCCCCTTGTAATACATATTGTGGCCCCGCCCTACCCCCGGGGGTCATGATTTGAACAATTTAGAATCTACACTATCCCAGGGTGCTTCCACATCAGTTTCAGCTTTTCTGGCCCAGTGGTTCTTGAGAAGAAGATTTTCAAAGATTTTTCCTATATATTTCTATGTAAAACTTTGATATCCCATTGTGGCCCCGCCCTACCCTCGGAGGTCATGATTTGAACAATTTAATCTCACTAAAACCAGTTTCAGCTTTTCTGGCCCAGTTGTTCTTGAGAAGAAGATTTTCAAAGATTTTTCCTATATATTTCTATGTATATGACCCATTGTGGCCCCGCCCTACCCCCGGGGGTCATGATTTGAACAATTTAGAATCTACACTATCCCAGGATGCTTCCACATCAGTTTCAGCTTTTCTGGCCCAGTGGTTCTTGAGAAGAAGATTTTCAAAGATTTTTCCTATATATTTCTATGTACTTTGATTCACCATTGTGGCCCCGCCCTACCCCCGGGGGTCATGATTTTTAACAATTTAGAATCTACACGCTTCCAATGAGTTTCAGCTTTTCTTGTTTTTCCTATATATTTCTATGTAAAACTTTGATATCCCATTGCGGCCCCGCCCTACCCTCGGAGGTCATGATTTGAACAATTTAAAATCTACACTACCCAAGGGTGCTTCCACATTAGTTTCAGCTTTTCTGGCCCAGTTGTTCTTGAGAAGAAGATTTTCAAAGATTTTTCCTATATATTTCTATGTAAAACATTGATGCCCCATTGTGGCCCCGCCCTACCCCCGGGGGTCATGATTTGAACAATTTAGAATCTACACTACCCCACAATGCTTCCACATCAATTTCAGCCTTATTGGCCCAGTGGTTCTTGAGAAGAAGATTTTCAAAGATTTTTCGTATATATTTCTATGTAAAACTTTGATTCACCCTTGTGGCCCCGCCCAACCCCCGGGGGTCATGATTTGAACAATTTAGAATCTACACTACCCCAGGGTGCTTCCACATCAGTTTCAGCTTTTCTGGCCCAGTGGTTCTTGAGAAGAAGATTTTCAAAGATTTTTACTATATATTTCTATATAAAAATTTGATTCCCCATTGTGGCCCCGCCCAGTCGGGGGTCATGATTTGAACAATTTAGAATCTACACTAAAATAAGTTTCAGCCTTATTGGCCCAGTGGTTCTTGAGAAGAAGATTTTTTAAACCCCACCCTATTTTTGTCTTTTCTTGAATATTTAAACAATTTAAATTCCTTCACCCAAGGATGCTTTGTAAAAGTTTTGTCAAAATTGGCCCAGTGGTTCTTGGATAATTCGAAAATAAAAAGTTTACAGATTGCCAAAACCAGTGTGATCCTCTTGGGCCTTCGGCTATAGAAATATGCTAATGTAAAATAAAAAATTTCATTTTCAAGCTTTATTTTGATGCATTTTAAATTAGATATTAATTTTTGGAGTTATCCTTCCTGGTTGAGGATCGGATATCCTTAATGTAAACCAATGTAACACTGTTAACAATGTTAAACATTGGCTGTTTGCATTTCTGTGTTTAGTGGATTACTGGATAAATGAAATATTTCTCATCTCTTAAACACATGCCATCCCAATATGAAGGATCTTATAATGCTTGAAATTAAAAAAAAAAAAGGTTAACAGAAATAAAAAATTTCAAAGAACAAATTGTGAAATAAAGACAAAGTAGATCTATAAAATCCTCATGTTAGTAAAGCACATCTTGGCCATTTATTAAGGTCAATTCAGTACCTACCTCTACACTGCTTCTTTATTGTCTTCAATGGATAAAATCTCTGATAGAGTTATACAAAAATCTCCTAAATGATACCAAGAAATGTAGGAATCATATTTAAGTATATGTCATATAAAGTTGAACTTGAGTACCTTGAACACAGATTTCTTACATTTTGAAGTCCAAATCACTAATTCTTTAAGTATTGTAAGTACTATTCACACTTTATTTAGGTCATACCAGTTAGTAACAATATTATCATTAGAAGTCCCATATACACATGGGTAAGTAGCACCACTTTGACCTGTGTTGGTACATGTAGTATATATAAATGCATGTTTATATAATACAACTTACCACTTTTGTTGGTGGTCCTTTACCACTAACCACTTTAGTTGGTGGTACTTTACCACTTACCATTGCGTAGGGTCCAACTGGGAGGTGAGCATGGCTGACCATTCCATCCGGCGCGGGGGAGAGGTCCACAAACTGTAACCCAAAATAATCCTTCTCTACTAGCTCTAAATGACCAAACACCTTGTCTAACAACACCTGAGACTTAGCTTTCTTCTGTAAGAGTAAAACAAGGATTTAACACTAAGAATCGCTGATGAATGTTATGGAGTAAAGGGGAAAAGGTTAAATGCATGTTCAATATATGATCGCCTATCTTTAATCTGAATCCATCTCAGACTTTGTGGTGATTTAGGTGAGGTTGGAACATATGTGTAAGGACTTACTGTTATTCTTGATAATCAATCTACATGTAATGACGTAAATAGCAAATCGTTTTTATAGTGTTAAATTTTTGTATTTTTTCATTAAAAATTTTAATTCATGTACAAGTAATGGTTTAATATATAATTTCATGGTGGGCATGAATTTCTGGGTCTCTTCAATGAAAACAACGAAAATTGAACATCCATGAAAATTATCAATTTTACAGTAATTGACCAATCAGAAGCTTCCTTACATCGACTTCGAAGTCTTGCTGGCTGTCGTCCAGGAAATGGACAATACAGGTGACCATCTTGGGCTGTCTATCCTGCAGATGGGTGGACATTTCTGAGGCTCGGACATTATAGGTTCCACCGGACACAAGCCTCATGGACATACTGTGCAGCTCTAAAAAACAAAACAATATTATCTTCATCAGAGGACACATTACTCTCAAGTTTACTATAATGAACAGTCAATAGGGGATGCTTTACTCCTCCAAGGCACCTGATCCCACCTATGATTTTTTTTTTTGAAGGGGGGGGGGGTTCCATGTTTATCACCAAGTTATTCATAACCAAGTTTAGTTACACTTTTTTTTACTCGTTCAGTTTACTGGTACTCAGTTTACACTCATTCTTCAACCTAGCAGTCATCTCTTCATACAGTAAAACTCGGTTATAGCGAAGTCCTGGGGACCTGTGAATTTAGTTCGCTATATCCGTAATTCGTTATATCCGTATAACAAATTCGTATAAACATTTAAATCGAGTTCGCAACATGAATGTTTTCCTTCAAGTATTACTACTAAATATGTTAGTGAAGCAAATATTACAAAACATACCGTCGATAACTAAGGTTTTATTACGAATTGAATTTTATATACAAATGCTGCAAGAAAATAAAGTCAATTCAATTAGCAAATTTTAAGATCTTTGAAATTTCGTTATAAAAGATGTAAATTTCATTATATTTAACCTCATTGGGACTCAAAATGAGTTCGCTATATCCGTAAATTCGTTATATCAGAGTTCGTTATAGCCGTAAAATTTTACAAAGATTTGTTAAGAATTTTGCCGGGGACCCAGAAAAACTTCGCTATATCCATGAATTCGTTATATCCGCGTTCGTACTAAACGAGTTTTACTGTATTTTCATTTTATTTTTAAACTAATAATATTTCCATAATTATCATGAGATCTGGTGGTAAAAATCATAAAGTTCCATCTGATAATTTGATTGTTTACCTCAGTTATTTGATTTTTTTTTAATTATGGTAAGGAATTCTTATCAATAAAACAAATTCTTGTGTTATCATAAACAATTTCCTTTTAGTTTTATATTGCCTAGAACTGTTATTTCTCCCATTTTTTCCACTCTTAATCTTGTCATTTATTTTATTCTACCCCCCCCCTTCAACGGAATAAAGAGGGTGGGTATGTATCTATGTGAATTAAGTCCCTAATGGCACTATGAAAAAGAAGACAAGCAACATTTTCTTCATCTTTCTCTTCTGTTAGCAATTAGCTTTTTTCCCCAGTCAATTAAATAAAGGTTCATCAAAAAACAACACTGAACAGAGATATACCCTGACATTAGTTTCACCCCTCTCTCTACTTCTGTCAATGACACAAGTATCTGTAACATTGAGCCATTAGGAAATGCCAGTCATTCCTACTCCATATACCACTACAAGAAGCCTTAGCTTAGAGGACTTCATAAGGACACACTAACTACACATCCAGGAAATCAGCTGCTGTTTTTACAATGGCTCCTTGAGTCTTCAAGGATGCTGCCATATGACTTCGCTTTCATTAGTTGAACCCTTTATTTATATGTGCTTACTGCTTATTGCTGGTTATATACTTGCAAGTTGTGGCGCCAAGATTAATATTTCCTTTAATATTGAATCTATATGCAATTATTAAATGAGATTGTAAGAAAATTACATCAATCAAGTCAAGTATCTTGGTATAATGAAAGTGGATCTATTTGAAACCCCAAATTTTACAACTGTTACAATGGATACTGTTGATAAGGGTGAAAGGGGGGGGGGGGGTGTATTAAAAGGCATAAAGAAAGATGAAAATTTGAACATCTATAAAGCAGTAATTGATAGGGTATTTGAGGTGGGACAGGGATAAGCTTTTTGCTAAACAAATGTATTTGTGTTTTAAGGACAATTTTTCCCTTCAGAGCTTAATGCATAAAAAATATCATTTTTCTCTCAAACCAAAATTGCTAGGGCTCTCTAAATCCCCAACCAAATGTATCCTCTGTTGCGCAGTCCAACAATAAAGTGTCAGCGCTGGACATGATAATGTCTTCTGTAAATACAGTCTCCGTAAATTAAGCGATTCCAAAGCATCGTTATATAATGTGTTTCTGTGGCTAATGTAAGAAAATTCAATAGTGTTGTAAAATACACAGAAATCAATGCCAGGATTCTCATCTGCCGGTGCTCTAGTCACTGTAACACATTAATCGCCCATTTTGGTCCCAGCAGCTATTATTTCAGAAAACACCATAATGTCCACTAGACCATTTAGAGCAATCCTCTTGCAACCAAAATACACTGGAAGGCTTCATCAAAATCTCCGAGTGTCTACTAATAGTGAGGTTTGCATGTTTTTGTTTCCCAATACATGCAATGCAATGGTTCCTAATGCAACAGTTTTAAGCAACATATAAAAAATATGAATCTGCCGAGTTCAAATGGGTGAAGGTCCTCAGTCCTAAAATTTTACAAAGCTTGGCTTTAATACTGTATACAAGATTAATTTTGCCCTTTGTCAGATTTTGACTATGTGTATTGGCAAACTAGAGGTACTATAAGCACTGAGTTCACAAAATTATAACCCTACTCCAATTTAATAAAGTTTTAATGTGAAGATTATGTTCTTTACCACAATATGTACTTGTGATACTGTAAAATTTCCGCTGGCTACCCCCCCCCCCCCATTCCCCCAAGTGTAACTTACATACATACAGAATGTAACAGATACATACAGAGGACAACCCTATCACTTTGTACCCCCTCCTTCTTTACTTTTGGATTGTTTTGAATTTGTTGGCTAATATGACAAAGGAAAATGGTGCAAAAATTAAATGGGGCCTAAAATGTTCCTGTATACAGAACATTTTTATCCTTAATAGAAACAGAAAGATTAAATGCAATAAGGAAATGGGCGAATTCCAAGTTCAGATGAACTTAATCAATATGTCATTGGAGAGGCTTATTTTATGACAGCATATCCCAATAATCTTTTGTTACATCATAGAGTCAATTCCAAACAGAAAGGATCGAATTAATATGATATTACTGCTGTTCCAATTTTCTCTGTTCCCTATTACCAGACTGAGAGAAATAAAAGACTGCACAAATCATTTGTACTTGCTTGACAATCTGGTTAATTTTTTTTAAGTTAAGTGATTCAGCAAAGCTAGAAAGATCAACTTTACTTTTAAAATTTATTAAAAAAAAAAAAAAAAACACCCCCTCCACCCCCAAACTGTCCTTCTTTCCTGTGTAATATCACTTATGTAGGGCGACAATTGATTATCATGTTCTTCTCTGACAAAGTGATGTAAGGAAATTTACTGAAACTGCATTTCGTCTGCATGATACTGCAGCATTAGAACCATCGGGATCAACAAAAGATCTATTGATTATCTTCCGACCGTAATAGACTTCCACCTGCACAAGATGTACCTAATTAAAACAAACTACTCCGCAGACACATACTGTTCCTGTGATATTTTGACGGGAAGGATAAATTTTCCCCTGTTTATCACCGACCAAAAAAAACCTTGCAAGGGCCCTTGTCTCACGGATCAGAAAGCTGATTCCGAGCCAGAATAATAATTGGTTCTTAATTAATCAGGCTTAAGCACCTACTACCATACAGCAAGCTAATTTTGATGATTCTCAGTTTGTAGGATTTATCTTAAAACAACACTGTTCATTCACTCCTTCACTTTAAAACAAAACAAAGCTCAAAAAAAAAAAGTCAGAGCAACATTCTTAACAACCAAAAAAAAATGGTTTCTTTACCTCCTGAACTTCAAACCATAAAACAAGTTTCCTGAAAATTGTTTCATGTGTTTACAAAGAATGTTTGTTTGTTGTTTAATGTACCTCTGAAAAATTTTTCACTATTATGGAGACACCACCATTTGCTGGTGGAGAGGTATAAATTTTGTCCCATGCTAGGCATCTAGGACCACTGAGCAGCGTGGGATCTTTTTCGTGCCAACATCTACGGGGACACAGGACCTTCAAGTTTATACGGTCTTGTCCAAATTAGGACCGATCTCTACGTCCCACAGTGGGATTCGAACCTGCAACATAAGGATCGATTCCTTGCTCCATGACTCTATAGCAGATCGAGGCTCTAACCTGACCATGCCATGCAGGCGACTGTTATCCAAGCACTTAAGAGAAAATGTACCCAAAAGCTGAATTGCTACAGAGGAAGAAAACAGAAGTATTTTTTAATAGATAATCTTGTACTATATTGATAAATTTAGCCTTTCAGCTGATATTGGGATACTTTCTTACTAAATCAAGAGTTATAACTTTAATTCCCGAACAAAATGAGGACAGCTAGGCACTGAGCCCCTTCAGATACTACAAGCTTGAATGGTACATTAACCTGTTAACCCCAGTGGAATTTGTTGCATGTGATTTAACATTTCATGTCTAATTATATCAATTTAGATTTAGTTCTATTTTAGTCCATTTATTTAAGAAAATAAATTCTTATATTCACCTGGAAAGATCATGTGCAGGTGAATATAACACTGTATTTTTCTTTTCTCTAGTATTGGGTTTCAGCCAATGAGAAAGCTAGAAATCATAGTAAAACAGAATTTGTAAAATTTGACTGCCTTACATTACACTACAATCATTATAAAAGTGAACCGCACTTTTTGTGTAATTTCCAGTGCTTAAGAGAAGCTACAAGAAACATCTTAGGAGTAATTTCTTCAGAATGAGGGAGGCAATTTAGTTTTGTTCTTTTGATTCTTCTTCATTTGTGTGGTAATAGTATGTTCCTCGTTACAATAAGAGCCGAGATCATTGGTGCCTGTTATGAGAGAAAGAATTAACTACAGAGAAATTCTTCAATCGGCTCAAAAACTGAAGAAAGAAAAAACATTCTGTGCATATCTGATCCCCAGGTGTCAAGAGTAAACAGTTATTGCATGCCCTCAACAATGTAAACATCTACAAAGTTAGCATCATCCTATCTGTACCATCCATCAATGCAAAATATTATGTTCATTTCTCTTCATATTTGACCATGTTTAACATTACAGACTCGGAAAAAAAATAATTTGGTAGCCAATTTTGTAAATATCAGCATTAACTCCATTGAAGACCAACTCAAATGCAATTTTTTGTG